AAAATAGTTGCTGAAAATTGATGCAATCATGTAATAAAATATGGCACAGTAACTTATATGATATGCTCATAGTATCTGCTAAAGCAATTAGAATCTATGCAGCTAGATTTTTGTTCATGTATTACTAAGAATGGAAACTATTTCAGCCCAAGTAAGACATAAACTATGCAGTTTGTGTACATTGTTCTTGTGATATTTTGGTCTCATTATTTGCATATGTGATCTATTTAATACTCTTTAAAATATAAAATCATTGAGTAGCAATAAGGTTTCAAAAGGCCTAACAAGTACAACTGGACAGTTTTCTATGTGACATATTACATGTGACAACATAGGATACTAATAATCAATTATATTAAAACCGTTTAAGTATAATAAAATAATATCTCCATATATCTAATAGGTCTTACAAGATAACAGGAAGAGCAATATTTATGTCTCTTTAATATCAATCCCATTAAATTTATCAGACATATTAAAAAGGTAGTCTTATTAATTGAAAATTTTCATACATGTTATATTTAATAACATTGTTAACAAAGCTTTTGAACTAGACTCCTGTTTAAATATAGGAAAGAATAATTTTCAGCGCATTTTCAGTGTTCAAAGCAATCACATGTATTTTAAACACATGTCCTAATTTCCAATGATGAAAATATAGGCAAGTATTTCCACTGTGGCACAAACATATCGATTAGTATAAGAAAGCATGATTTTCTTGTGGCAACTATAAACAAAACTGTAGAAAAAGGAAATTAATATTTTCAAAGGCACACTAAGTATTATTTTTGTAATTTATCACAGTGAATCTTCACATAAACCCTGTGAGATTTTCTTATACTCCATTTACAGATGAGGAATCTGAGCTCAGAAAGGTGTAGGCATTGCCTGAGGCCCAGGCAAATGAAAGGCAGAGCCAGGGGTAATACCCAGCTTCGTCTGATTTCAACACACTTGGACCCCATTACTGTGTGCAATGGGTATAAAGTTTACACAACAAATATTTGTATGTGGGAAATCTCTTTTACTTCCCTATTCAAAATGAAATTTATTTATTCTAGGCTCCCAGCTCACTAGGCTGGAAAGAAAATTCAATTTACCCTTCAATAGAATCATATAAGAATATATAATAATTACATGGTAGATACCCAGAAATTTGGATAGCAATTACATTTAAAGTGTGGGGGGAGGAGGAAAGGGAGAAGAAGGCCTGCTTTGAAGATATGGCCTGATACCATGACGAAGGATAGGTTTTCATCTTCTCTTGAACCATAACTGACAGGCTTAACCTCTCTTCCTATGAACTCTAATCCTTTACTTTGTAAATCAAATACTAAACACCAGGTTGGAAGTATTTCTCGTCTACCTTGCCACTGTCTTATTAACTTGGACACAAGATCGCAGATATCAAATGTCTCATACTTTGATAGCTCCATCTTTGTCAGGATTGGAAAATGTCTTAAGAAGATAATAAATTTATAATATTTATTACAATGTTTTCAACCACACCACCAATTCTCCCTGCTGCTACCTCTAACCTGTGATAAATAATCATTTACACAAACATTAATAATATTTTTATGATTTGTGGCAATAGAGTATATATCTTTCACTAAGCATATCTGTTTTAATTAGTTCCTAATTTTTATCAAAATACATCCAAATATTTCTTAAGAGGTTCATCTATGCTTTTTCTTAGCATATTCCAATAAGTTTAATATTATAATCTTAATATTCAAGTGCCTGTAATAAAACAATCAGACTGTCAAATTACAGTGGGAAGGCTGGGGAATGTTGGGGAGGTGGGGGAGGTAAGAGATCAACCGAAGAACTTGTATGCACGCATATAAGCATAACCAATGGGCACAAGACACTGGGGGGTGGGGTGAGGGCATGTGCTGGGAGGTAGGGGAGGCCAGGGGAAGGTCAATGGGGGGGAAAAAAAGGAGACATATCTACTACTATCTGTAATACTTTAAACAATAAAATAAAATGTAAAAATAAATAAATAAATACATTTATATTGTAAACAAGTTTGTAATTTCATGACTAATATAACTGTCTTTGGGTTATAGTTCTTTCAAATTACACTAGGAAAAATTATAGTAATGATAATGTTTGTTTAATTTTCATATCTTTGGTTGCAGTGATAATATGAGAAGTGTTAATATAATACAAATAAATTATATTTTTGTTTTTTTATGTTGCTTGCTGCTTTATAAAGGCTTTATTTAATTCTTTTAAATTTTCTCAATAAACTAGTCAGTTACCAACACTGATTTTGGGGAACCTGCGCCTCAAAGACATTAACTAGCGAGCCAATCGTTGGCCTGGCTGGGCCTGCCTTCTAATCACTGTCCTTGCACTACAGCTTAGCACAATTCTGAGAAACCCTGTGAATTACCCCACCATGTAGAATCCAGCTAAAGAGCCGTTCTTGCTAGAGGATAACTAAGTACCAAGTACATGGAATCAGTAATTCTCACTCACAGTAATAAAAATGAGGAACACATTTTGTTTCCTTTTTATTTCACTCTTCCTTCCTAACCCAAATGAATTTTAAGTCATAATTTGAAACTCTGCCATTAGCTCCATCAGAAATATTAAATTTTAAAGTGTCCCATAAATGAACACCATTTACTATTCTAAGAAGATAGAAAATACTTTTATGTGAATACTAGAAATTGCCAAAGAAGCTATTTTATTTCAGCCTGTGGACAACTTAATGTGCTCCTGGAAAAAGCATGCATATTCTGACCTAATTTATCCCCTAGTGCACCTGATTCTGAAAAGAGTGCTCAGAAAGGCATTCCTCCCCACCCCCCAACCCCCAACACATTCTGAGGGCAGGGTCTCAGGCATGAGTTAGTTGCCTCCTTTTTAAGGAATTTGTTGCAGTGCTTCCTGGAATACTTTCTACCTTGGAACTCGTGCATATTTCTGTACTAGTCAAATATTCACTCCAGTTTCTGGGTACTTGAGTCATCTGAGCAGACTTCCCAGTGATAAAAAAAGAAAAAATGTGTCACCTGTGTGTTTGTTGTTCTAATGATACTACCTTCAGGCACACCTCCCATAACATACAGTTTTATATTTCTCACTTAGAGAAAATGATAAGGATTGTTTCAGTTCCAGTGGAATTTAAAAATGCTTCAGAAGCATGTAAGCCCCAACGTAGTAGAAATGACAAGAGTAGGGGAAGTAACTGCAATGGCTATTTAGCATTTCCTTCTGGAACACAGAGAAAAATAAGATAGTGTATTTTATTCTAGACATCTAATATAGTTCATTGCTTTTTTCTCTTTGTGAAGGAATAAAAAGAGTCATTTAAATTTAAAATCCTTTGCTTCAAGAACCATCAGGCTAGCTTTTGGCAAACCTATGTGATAAAATGACCCCCCCTACTCTTATCATGACATGTCTTGTCTTTAGATTTCATTCATACATTATTCCTTGAAACATGCTAAATGCAACCAAAAAAAAATATCACTGAACTAAGTAGATTTTTGGTTAGTAATAGCTAGATTTTAATTCACTCAGTTATTTTGCCATCTCTACCATTTACATAAATAATTATACCCATTGATAATGAGCATGAATATTCAATCTCTCTCTGATTAACTGGCATGATAAAATATTTCTTGTCATAAATAAATTCTATCCTTATTTTTCTTATCTATAGGACAACATTTTTAAGCTGGAAGATTCACACTTTGAAAATGGACGTGGGAAGAGTCCATATGACCCTAAACTGCTGACAGCATCTCTTTTAATAGGTGCGTAGTCAACAACCAATTAAACAGTGAATTTTCTATAGATAATAACTAGAGTGCATGTTATTTATTATAGGCTAAGATTATTGAACATAAACTGCTTTAGGAGTATATGAGTTGAGATATTTTCAAATATTTTGAAAATTGAGGAAATACTAAGAGCTCTTTTGATGATTGCATTATGCAGACTCTGATTCTTTTTACTCAAAGTGTTTTCGTAGTATCTTTGAAGTTGCTGGCTCGATCACTATATGCATCTCCACTAGAACTTTCAAGTTTTTATTTTGAAAGAATGGTTTTGTTTTTCATTTCATGAAAGGGGTGTTTAAATTGAGAATTTTGACAAATCAAAAGGAAAGAATGAAATTGTCTTGTTAAATTGTAGTTCTAAGATCAGTCACACTCTCAACATTTGGAAACTTAATCAGCACAATCAGTCTAAATGGAGGTATGATTGGCAGAGACCCTATTGTGTTACTTTGAGTTGATGAAGGTCTCCTGTATTCAGCTTTTTTGACTTTACATCTTTCACTCTTTTTAAATAAAACAAAACATTTTACATACTCTTTCTACCCTTTTCTCTAGTTTTTTTTTTTTCTTTCCTTTTTTCCTTCAGCATTAAAGATGGGTAGTAAATGCTTAGCCAGATGTTGAGATGTTATAAGTAGGAAAATAGAAATAGACAGATGAAGGAGAAAACTTTAGTTTGTTTTGAAAGATAATGTTTCCATATTTTTTTACTACTTATGGACTGGAGTTAAATAAAACACAAAACAAAGTTAGCATCATTAAACAATTTTTCTTCTTAACTTTTGTTATATCAAGAACCTAAAATACAAAAGCTACTTGGTCATTACCGTTCTCCTGAATGTAGTTTCTATATAATCATGTGGAAATTATGTAACTTGTTTCCTTTTTATAAAACATAGAGAGTAATTATTTGATTACACAACAAAAATAATAGTGAAATGTTTTAAGTGTAAAATTTCTAGTTGAAATTTGAATACTAAATCTGGATTTCTATAAATTTGGGCCAGGTTGGTGTGGCTCAGTGGTTGAGTGTCAACCTATATACCAGGAGGTCATGGTGTGATTCCTCTTCAGAGCTCAATCCCCAGTGAGGGGCATGCAGGAGGTAGCTGATCAATGATTCTCATTTATCATTGATGTTTCTATCTCTCTCTCCCTTCCTCTCTGAAATAAATAAAAAATATTTGTAAAGTATTTGGATTATTATTTGATGTGTCAAAAGTTTTGCCAGTATTTTCCTTTTAAAAAATATTTTTCTACTTAACAAAATAGAACTAGTCATATTGACTGCAGTATTAGTGATAAAGATATATTTTTCCAGTATTCCAGTATTTTCTAGTGTTTACTTCATAACTACATTTCACTGATCCCTTTCCTTTTAAGAATAAAACCACTACTGCATGAATTATCTCCTTTATTGCTTTTCAAATGTAGACAATTTCAGTCCATTTGATCCATTTATGGAGCATTTTAACAAAAGTTTAAGACCTGAAGAAATGCAGCAAATATAGTACACTTATAATTTTCTATTCACAGATAGCCTAGTGATTATACGTGGATGACTTCCTTAAGTGCACACACAGAAATTTGAGAGTTGTCTTAAACAAAGGGAAGGAATCCAACCTTGTTCAAACTTGCAGCTTATACTTATTTAAACTGCATACTGGAAAAAAAATAGATTTGCCTCAAAAAGCAGTATGTAAAATTGTGCCTAAAGCAGCTTTAATGTGTGGTATGTTTCTCAGTAGGGATTTGCTCGATTATTTATTTTAATATTCCATTGAGAAAGGATGATGACAGGTAAGTATTACATAGTTCATTTGGTATGCAACCACACAAAGTCCACAAAGACTATTAACTCCACAGTTTGTGTTTTATACTAGAAATTCTTTGAAAAAGACTACATAGGTTTGTGAAAAGGAAAAGAAAATGAGGGAAGTGTTGTGAGCCAAGGAGACGATGTAGGACTAAGAATTACAGTAGGCATTTCAGAAAAGCAGCTTTAAAATGGAGGTCCAGAGCTCACCTACCTAATATGATGAACTAATTGAGTAACTTTCAGAGATATTTAGTGCTTATTCACAAGGAAGTTTCTTCAAGCCAATATAAATTAACTTCTGAATCAATTGGATAGAAAAATGCAGAATGCAGGCCAGATTAGACCTGGTAAAGTCCCTCAAAATATCTACAACACCATTTTAATTCAAGAGCCGTGACTTCCTTTATTGAGGTTACTTGCTTCTTTTATAACTAGGCTATAAATTCTTCTTCTCACAGTACATTTAATTCCCCTTGTTGGATGTTTCTGGCATCTTTCCATGATGCTGCTTAAAAAAGAATGCTTGCTAATTTAATGGAATCTTTTTACACATAAATATTTTCTACCGCACTTCCCAAACTTTTGCATACAATAGTAACTGTCTCTGAAATATAAAGTCTGCACATTATATATTAGTGAATGACTGTTGGGAAAACCTACATCTACCCAAAAGATTTTGAGTACATTCTTCTCATTTCTCAATAAGAGGAATTGCCAAGGTGGTTTCTGGCTGCTTCCTTTCCCAAGACTGAGAAAGAAAGCGTCATGTTTGACACAAACCACCTATAAAGTGGCTAGAAGGACTTGGCAGCAGATTCTTTCAGACCCTCTATTAAGCAGGTTCAACTAGTAGTAAACTTTAAAACCAGATGACAGCTTAAAATTTTAGTTTATGAAATCTGTCAAGGTTTAATAGGACCTCATTCCAAAATGCCATGGGTTTTTCAGCTGATGACCATAGAAAATATGGATTATCTCCTGAGCAATACAGAGCTACTGAATTGTCCCCAAATATTACAATCTGTCTAAGCTTTTAAAATCACGTTAGTAAAGTTAATTTTTCAAATCCTCTTTAATAAAAACCATTGTCAATATTAAATTGCTCTAATATTTTTTGATATTTCTTCTTTCACCCACCTCTACATATTCTATGACATTTTTACCAAGTTCTTCATGAACAGCAGTAGTTGTTGTCCTGCTCAGAATAAATACCATGTGTGAACACAGCAAAAGCATAAAACTTCGTATTTTCCTCACTAAGTATCATCTCATGTTTTCAGGACTTGAGGGGAATAGCCAACTTGAAAGCCATTTTGTTTCCTCATTAAAATCTTTTCCAGGCATTGCAGTGATAATAATTTATAAATATTCCGCCACTAAGAGCTACTACTGAGGTCTAGACCAAGGGTCTGTCCTGTTAACTAGAAAGTTGCCTTGTCTCAAGAATAACCATAATTTGACATTAGGATACACTCTCACTTTGTGTTAGAGCAAACAAGGCACTCCTTACGCTGATTAACTATAACTGAGACAATTATTTGAACCTCTCTGAACATCAGTTCTTTATATATAAAATGGCTTGGCCATATGAACTCCGTCGGTTTGTTGTGAGGCTTAAATAAGACAGCATACTACATTTGAGTGCTTACATATTCTGAAATATATGTTAAACAGAAACAAGCAAACAAACCAAAAACAACTGGTAAATATGGTTGCCTTTAGGAAGTCTGGGAGACAAATGTTGCACCTTATACATTTTCTATTTTTACTAACTTTGTACTATGTGCATATATTAACTACTCAAAAATGTTAGTTTTCAAGGACAGCATAAGTAACAAAGTCATCATATTATACAGTGTGGGGCAAAAGTAAGTTTATAGTTGTGGGTACTCAAAACACAGATTTTATTATTGTTATTATTTATTATATTATTTTTCAGACAAATAACTATAAAACTACTGTGGTCCCACCCTGTGTTCAATCATATACAGAAATGTGCTCAATAAATGTAAAAATGTAAAATTATTCTCATACCCTTCACTTCTCAGGAAATAGATTGAGGGCGGGGGTGGGGGGGGGGAGGAAAGAACTTCTCTTTTCCTACGTTTCTAATTACTCTGCTATTCTGTGAGTGGGATTTACTTAAGGTGTTAACATAATGTCTTGGGTTTAGGTTTGTTTGATTTTGCTCACATCCATGTCACACTTTACACCTGTGTTAGTAATGCTTCGATTTCATAAGGAAATGTTTTTTCACCTTCTGTTTCTCTTCACCACACCCTTCTTAGGAATTGTAATCTAATACATTAACGATCTAAGCCAACATTTCCATTGCATTTTGAGTTGTGCACAGGAAGGCCAGAGTACACGTGAGCTTTTGTTTTTAACACATGTTTCTCAGATAACTCCACAATGGCGGAAATGCAGTTCACTAAACTGTTCATCTCAGTAAAGAATGCTGTCCTTAAAGACAGTTTAAAAGGCTAACACTTAAGAAAGAATGGTGTGCTCAAATAGCATCTTTTAAATTTGACAACTTCTGAGTGGTTAGTTACATCTGTCAGCACTAATGTATCTTACGCCATTGTATTATTTTTGAGATATTAAATTGTCTATGTTTTTTTTGTAGAGAGACTTAAGAACCTGGTTGGACATGTTTCCACAACCACTTTTTAATAAATATAACAGTTTCTTGAGTATATTATTTTATCATAAATTTAATAAAATTGGACAGATAGTTTCTTTGACTAGTGGCTTAGTATATATGGAAAACCAAAAAGTATCTATCTTAACCATAGTGAAATTTCAAACACAAGATAACATTGACCTAATACACTACTTCAGATCCCCAGGAAAACATATTTGTGGTCATAAAACTGACAAATTATCATTATGCTCAAAAATCAACATACAATTTGATAACTTCATAATTGACCGAGAAACTACAAGTTTGGCAAGTAGGCATTTCTGTTAAACCTAGTTGTAAATATGCCAACTGAAGTATACAGTAAATTTCTTATAGCCAGATATCATTAGATAATTTCAGATAACTGCAAAATTTACTAAGTTGTTAATATATAGTGAAAATGCACAAGTATATTAAATGAAATGTACTCTAAATTGATATTATATTTCTTCTTAGTGAGAATGCAATAGTAGGTTATTCCACCTCCTATAATTTTGCATCCAAACAACAAATATGCCATACATCATCTGGAGCAATTATCCTTGATAAGAATCCTATAGAAACCTCAGCAGAAAATGTGATCTCAGACCTGTTGTAAAGGAATAGTTATTGATATTGAGCACTGACACTATGAGAATGTGCCCTTCATGGCCACCCAATTATCTGGTGCCCTCCAGCTCACAGAAATCACTCTGACTCTTGCCAAAAATAATAATCAGGTGAGAGGTAATTTCCTATTACTGAAGGCAACTGGTATCCAAACTGCAACCTTCCTTTGGTTTATAAGTCCATTGTTTAATTTAATTCTGTTTTTAGTAATAAATTGAGTTAACAGCCCTTCTACTGAATAGCTCTTCTACTTTCACTGTTTGTTAAAAGAGGAACAAATCAGTCATGCTTCCTCTGCCTTTATTTGTATTGGTTTTTGCCCTCCTCATGTGGGATGGGTAACAAAAATAACTGGAAGTTATAAAATCATTAACTAAATGAATAAGAGAAACAAATACCTACCTTTACTCAAGTAACAGTTTCCAGTTGCTGTTGTTTTTGTTATTGCAACTCTCTCCTGGATAGAGGTTACATGTAATAACAACTGTAATTATAGATTTTCCTCACACGGGAGCAAGCTTAATGAAAAAACAAGAATGATTAATTACTGACATTCTTTATATTTCTGATTGTACCTCCTGTTAGTTATGCTCTGTCTGACCACATTCTGATATGATATTATTTAGTTTTCATGTTTTTGTAGTTCTGTTTTCTCTTTTTCTGATTTTCATCACTAACATAGTGAAAAGGGAAATAAGCATTAACCAATAATTTAAATTTTTTTAAGGTAAAGAGAATGCAAGGTGTTCTGTGACAGGTTCACAACTTGAAATTATTTGACATTGATATGATATTTTAGGGTACTTCCACAAGACATTTTACACTTACACCCTGTTATTCACAAAGAACAAGAAACATAATTTCCCTGACGTTTAAAAATATCTAATATCTATATATCAATACTTGTAATATGATACAATATCAACTTTAATAAAAACAGTACATTGGGGAAGGCACAAATGTCCCATGGAGAAAAATAATTACAGCGATTGAATATAAGTTAAAATTAAGGCAACAATATGTATTTAAACATTTCAAAGTACCCTTGAAACTTATAGTTAGCTTATTCAAAGCATTTTTGTGCTTTTAGAACAGGGTCATTTCTTTTTCTTAAATTATACTTATTGTGGTAACATTGGTTAAAAGTGTTATTTCTTTGCCTTATTATAAGATTAAATATTATTGCACCATGTTATAGTGAAAACAAGTCAGATTTGAACTTGATATTTAATTAAGTGAAGAGAACATAGATGTTTTTGAATCCCAAAGGTATCATATTATGACAATTTGGGATATCACATGAATTCCACTTACTAAACTGATTATTTGTACTTAATATGTTGTTCAACCAACATTTTTAAAAAACTCATTCTCATAGTTTGGAGCTGTTCAATGGTTCTCTTTGTATCATTATTCCTCACAGCTTTGGGGTTTCTCAAAGCCTGTTTTGGTGCATTCAAACACATTAGAGAACCACAGGTCTTACCAAGGAAATTGATTTGGGTTGGGCCACTGAGAATGTCTATCTTACTGAGAATGTCTACCTTACATTGCAAAGCCCTGATTTGCAAGTGAGAATTGAAGGTGTGAACAAAGAATATCACACATGCAATCCGATTAATAAAACTCCCTCAAAAGCATTTATAAGTAAAGATTCAGAGAAAATTTTCCACTCATTTAATAAATACGAAAGTCCTTTGAAAATGGACATAGTATTATTAAAACGTTTAGGTTATAATTTATCTAGACCTATTTTATTTTCTGAATATTTTTAAATCAATGAATTAAAAACATTAACATATCCAAATGATCAACAAGATAATATATTTTTACTGTCATTATGGTAGACTATTTGGAGAAAAATTTATAATTTTTTGTTATTTTGTTGTGCTGATTATTCACTGTAAGTAGACAGGCAACAGTGAGTTTTCTGGATGAACTAATATGTGGCACTTTCTACTTAAAGGGAGGAAACCATAATAATTACCAATGGGCCTGTGTTTGAACTTTCACCTTGACTTGCCTAGTCATTAGCTGAGCAACCTTGAGTTTCTTGAACTGTAAAATACGGATACCCTTACGTCATGGGGTTGTTGACAGAACTAAATGAGATAATTTGAAAGTGTCCAGCCAGGGCCTGACTGCTGAGCCAGCACAGAGTGGTATTCAGTAAATATTAACTTCTCTTTCTCCTCCCTTTTTCCTTTTCCCATCTATTCTTTACCTTCTGATTAGGAGTCTTCCATCATTAAACTCTGACCTAGAGTAAATTTAGTTTAAATTGGAATGAGTCAAAGAACAAGAGAATTTGAACTATAATGAATATGAGCTGTTTGTCAAAATTTCTTCCTCTCTAAACACATCTCTGTTATATCTGAGGTTATGTGGTAGACTTTTTTCTTTTTGACTGTATGATAGCATCTATTAAATTCAAACACTTCTCCAAATTCCTCTATTAAAATACAAAAAAACAAAGAAAAATTTGGCAAAGAAAATATTAATACTTTCTGAATTATAATAAAATACAAAAATATTTTTAAATGAATATATTAGAAATTTAATTTCCATAAAATAAGAACTATAAGCAAGATTTTGCAATGATTCCTTATCTTAATAAACAAGATTATTAGAATCATAGCATCTTTACACATATAAAAGCAAACCATATGTGCACTTTGTAAGTTTGTCTCTGGTTATAGTGGAAAAGAATAATATTTCATGTTTTATTAATATCCACTGAGTCATATTTTATTCAATTTTTCAAAGTCAGTACTAAATGAGTAGTCAGGTACTAAATTATTGAATGATGATTTAATAAAATACTTACTATAACAAAGACATAAGATTAAAAAATAAATAGCTTTGCATAATGGTGTAGAGAGCATTTCTGTTTTCTTTATAACATGGTCTTAACACCGAACTTGCATTTTGTTGTTTTGTTTTGTTTTGTTTTTCTTACCTTAATTGAATTGAAGCATGTGCATGTGGTTTTATCTTGTCACAACACAGATGGAGAGTTATACTCCGGAACGGCAGCTGATTTCATGGGCCGGGACTTTGCTATCTTCCGGACTCTTGGGCACCACCACCCAATCAGGACAGAGCAGCATGATTCCAGGTGGCTCAATGGTAGGTGGTGCTTGTAAGAACATAGACACGTAACAGGTGTAACTGGAAAACTTTCTTTGTATAGCTCAAGTCATATGACTTGAGATTTAATATGCAGTTAAACACATGGTAGTGACGTCATGGCTGTGGGTGTGAGAAAGCTGGGCAAAGAGAAAAGAGAGATTACGGATTCAGGGAAATATTTGCTCTGTGCCAAAAGTGAAATTTCTCAGCAGTTAACTATGGAAAGAAATAGATCGGGGCTGGAGCTCCGGAAGGGAGGGATGGAAAATGATAAGATGACCTACCAATCCTGCCTTACAGGAACACCACAACTAATCTCAAACCTCATGATGTAGTGTGTTTTTTTCCTCCACACTTCCATCTTCCCTTGAGAACATCATATAAGTTATATAACACTTTAAAAAATTGTCTTAAAGACAACATTGCATTGAAAGTACTTTCAAAATGTCAAAGGACTTTTATATCATTTATTTATTTGATTCTCCTTTAATCTTTCTAAAACCCTATCTCTCATTTTATAGTCCATCTGTTTTCGGTAAGATGCTTGAAGATTTCATCATTTGAACTTCTACCACACTTGTTTTTCCTGCTTCTTCTCCTGGGGAACCCCCAAAATTCATTTAATCCCTCCGTCCTTCATTGATTTGTTAGAGAAAAAATATGACCTCTAAACATCACTGAAACATCAGGAGACCATGAGTTGTCTGTTACAATCTTTGTTCTGATAAATACTTTAAAGTGACCATTCAAAACATAAAACATACATACCACCAGTAAGCTCAATCAGCATTTCTTCCCTCCTGCAACACTTCTGATCATCCATTATTTCTTATGTATTAGTGTGCCTCTTACCTTGCATATTTCACTGGTCTGCCTTTGCTCCTAATTGCATTGATGAGCTTATGTAAATTTCCCCAATCTACATGTCTTTTGCTGTCTTTATCTCTTCGGTACCACTAACTCTCCCTCTGACCTGAAAACCTGCTCATCTATTCAGCACCCCCTTTCATCGAGGCATGCCATGAAGTCCCTGCATATCTAAGTGCATAGCCGTGTTAGAAACGTGTTTTCTCAACTTTTCCACCCCTTTATCCACTTTCAACCTGACTTTGATCCCATGGAACTGCTCCTCCAACGGTCACTGATGAGTTGCCATAGCTGTTTATCAGTCTCCATTTAGAATAGCGTCTCCTGCAGGACGTGTCACTGCTCACCAGCCTTTTCTCTTTAGAAGGCACTTGTTTTCGCTTCCCTTTTTCCTGCTCTCCCAAGTTTCAAATAAGTTTTACATCACTTCCCCATGGTATTCTCTTTAATGTAGATGATGCCTAAGGTCATTTAATTAAGTAGAAACACTGTGGTAATCAAAGGAGATTTGACATATAATCAAATCCCCACCCCTGGGGTAGAAGTGTGGTAGCTGGGTGACCAGCAGAGAAATTGTGTCTCACCAAGAGAGAGAAAAGATGCTAAGATCATGATAAGACTGTTGGCGTAAAACTATAAAAGAGCTTAACTCCAAACTCCCGGAGGACAGTTTCGGAACATCCGCTGCTGCTTTCTGGTCTATTCTCAAACTGAAATATTTATTTAGGAAGGATCACGTTTGTTTTTATTCTGCAAGAAGGAGACTTTGATCTACTAAGAACTCTAAAAAACATACAGGCTCTCACTGTCCCTGAAAAAGAGCATCTCATTAGAAGATGGAATAACATTAAGGAGAGTACGGTATCCATTTCATTTTTATGGCCTTGGAGGAAAAAAGTCATCAAGTTAAAGCCGCCTTTGTGCTGCACACACTCACATGTTGACAGCTGAGTCTGAAGAATTTACACTGTGGGAAAACAGTCATTGTCCGCAGCTCTGTACTTCATCTCTGCAAATGTGCAGTTCATTTGAGAATTCAGTTATCAGTCTCTCAGCACTAAACGTGAGAACGGATTTTACCAAATTAGCACAAAGGTTACATTTGACAGGGTGCAGAAACCAGGGCTGCTGCAAGATGGGGATGCAGACACATTTTAGATAGAAACGAGGGACTGTGTGAATCTCAAGCCTCAGGAAATTAAGTACCATTTCAGAATAAAGTTAGAAACATCATGTTTAGATGTTCATGCATCAAATAACTGAATTTTGAGGCAGGAGCAAAGACTGCATAATCATTTGTGTTACCAGAAGTAATCAACTATCTTGCAAGGTACTTTATGAAAGACCTATTAAAATTAATTTGACACAGGGCTTCCTTTGCTTTCCTCAAATTAATTCAAACCATTTACTTTTGTAAGAACCAGTTGCCCTATTTTAATGACTTTTAATATCATTCTCAATAAAAATAAAAAAAATAAAACAGTTGTCTAGAATTAGAACTTGGAATATCTTGATTGTAATGAAACTTCACTATTTTCATAATTATATACTAAAATTTATATTTTTATAATAATATCAATAAAAGTTTAAATTTATTTTAACAGGAAATTTAGGAATGAGTAATACATTTAGGTGAAGAAACAAAAGCTGCTTTTTCTAAACGATTTTTTTTTCATTGACACTAGCTCCTCTTTTAAGGCTGATAGATGTTAAAACTACTTTTGATTTCAGGAAATGAACTGGTATATGTTTGCCACGATGTGCCCAGATTCAGAATGTTTTTTCTTGTGCCTCATAAATTATCTAAATAGCATATTTTTTAGAACTTCAGTTTCGGTTTACCAAGGATGTGAGAATTAGGTAACTATGTCATTTATATATTCTTAGTAAGTATACAAATAAGTTCATGCTATTGTTATAGTAATGATTTCTTAACATTTTGCACTTAAATACTACTACCTGATTCTTGTACAGATTAGCCATCCATCAGAGCAGATGAAGGGCTAACCTACATTTATTTTTCTATTTGATGGACACTGTTTTAGATCTTGAATTAATATTGGAATGCTATATGTTATGGAGGAAAGACCATAGTCTTTAGAGCAAGATGGTTTCATATCACTTGGACCTTACTTCTAATGGGATTACACTACTACCTCCCTCTTATAGTTGTGGAAAAATGACCACATGGTAATCTGTAAAAAGTACTAAGTAAGTATTGGCATGTGGTCAACACTCGCTAAATGTGAATTTTCTCTGTGTCCTTTGTTCCACTTCCACAGGGTGGAGCATGCTTAGGAAGCTTTGTCAGACTCATTCTGTGAGTGATTGTGTTTGAGCCGGGGTGAAAGGGCAGTCACAGTAGGGTTTAATATGGGAAACCACATGGATCCTTGAGAGACCTGAGGCCCAGTGAGCACAAACAGACCTTAATTACAGGGCCCAGACTGTGAGGCCTTCCCACTCGCTTCAGGAAGACCTGTTTTCTTTTAGTGGAGTTCCTAAAAGTATCATGCCTGTGGATAGACCAACCCACTTGCTTTTTTCTGTAATTGAAATGGTATGCAAGTCATCATTCTCCTTCCTCTCACTGTAACACTCATACCAGCCTGGCTCGCCCAATTATTGGAAAGAGCATAGCTTCCTCTGTGGTCATGTACTGGGATACTCCACGTTCTCTTAAGATTCAGATTTCTCCACAAGATATATTTTTATGTAAATAACACCAAGAAATGTGATTGCAAATAAATTATGGGAGTAGAAATTAATGTTACATGGTACCAGATACCTAATCTCAAATCATTTGTACAACTCTCTTGATGTACTTTTTTAATTCTATTATCTTTAAAGACATAAACTATGTCAAAGTATCCAATTCGATTTTTTAACAAGTAAAACGAATTATGTAGTTTTGCATAATATCAGGCTTTTTAATGATGCCATTTTGAATTATTTCTCCGACTTAAGCAAGTTAGTAATATATTTTGCTGACCTTGGAGAAAAAAGCCCTGTGGAAGCCTTATTTTATGGTTATATGAGCAGAGGAGTATTACATAAGTAGAGTGAACATTTAGTCAAAACAGCAACTGCAACCACAAATGTCATCTTGGTTTTCACAGCCTGTGAAAGACAAAACAAGGACTCAGTCTTTTTAACTTTTGAATTATATCTACGAATTACACTCTGTTAGTTAAATATCACTGTATAGAATCACAAAAAAATAAACATATTTTTGCTGAAATTATGCTGAAGCATGGATATGCGATATTTTAAAGTATTCATACCAACTACTCACTCTGCTGTACACCTGAAACCAATACAAAATAATATAGAAATTATACTGTCATTGAAAAACAAAATAAAAACAGATCTCAACAACAAAGTGTTCATGCCTTACCTCACTCCAACCTAGTTTATCTTTTTTTTCTTATGAATCTATTACCCAGAAAAAAATTTCATCCCAAAAAAGAATGCGCACCTCCAACTATAACCTTTTCAAAAATATACCATAAAATTATTCTATTTTCTAAATGATAACACATTTAATAAGTTAACTAAATATGCCTTTTCTATTTCCAGAAGAGCAAATTTACCAAATATACTTTTATTTAATATCCTTTTCGAGGACCTACTTACTGTGTCACACTTCGTCTAGGGCACATAATCACTCTCAATTGGTTTTGTTTGAAATTATATAGCACTAATGAGGAGAAATGAATAAAACTTTGGAATAAAAGTTAACTCAGTGACAATGTTTGGAAGGAGATTTTATGTTTTTCAGAGCTCTAAGAAAATATTCCTGAATAAAATATTAAGGATATGCTATTTTAACATTTTTTAATGATTGGTTAAAAAATACAACTCTCAAGTATGGCCTATTAGTCACAGATTTTGAACCACTTATTTGAGAATTTATAGTTGAATGGTGAGATTAGAAAAATAACATTTAAGAATATTATTACCCTCAAGGGAATCCCACTTTTAAATTAAATTTAATGAAAAATCTATAAAAACTAGATAATATCTTGGAAAATTCTTTAACTTAAAGCCAGCTCTCTTTCTTCTCTGAGTTCCTAAAATATTTCTCTCTGGTCTCACCATCAATTTAATGAATTCAGAGCCTGTCTATA